GTCCATATAGACTGCTGGTATACAACTATTTGCATAAACTAGAGTTCATCAATAAGTTAATCATTCACGGCTTTGCTCCATCATTTATTATGTAAACAGTATCTACTACATTTTGGACACTTGAATCTGGTGCCTCGCTCTCCCTCCCAGTACTCACCCAGTGAGTTACTCATGGTAGTTGATAATAGAGAGAGAGATTTAATAAAATACAGTCATATGCCAAGCAGTATGTCACTCCAGGATGAGCGACATACACAACTGTGCTCTCATAGACTGTAGTGCAACCCAGGCTGTATAACCCAGGTTTGTTTAAGTCCACCGTGATAGTCCCATAATAATGAATTCACATAGTGAAGAAATTTCTCAGAGCAGGTCTCCATCGTTGAGTGACACATGACTATAATTTTAAAAAAATATCGTCAAATTATGTGGAAGTAGACAAGATGGAATCATTAATTCTTCTTGCATGGAACTTGGTTTTTCTAAAGGAAATTTCATTTGAAATTAGTCACCAAGGATCAAGAGGGATGTTTTAGAGAAGGGGGGCATTCCAGAAGAAAAAGAAAAATCCGTGGACAAGAGATCAGAAATATACACTGAGAAGCCATTCTCTAGGAAACAGAAGCTGAAAGGAAAGAATTTGGAAGACATTTTAAATAATGTACTAAAAAGTTAGCTAGTCCCAGAAGGGCAGGCCTGGAACTCTATCTACTTGATGGCAGGGGGACCACAAGTTCACCAGCCTGGGCAAACTTAACATGACTCTGTCTCAGAAAAAGAGCTGGGACCCACCAAAACTTGTTGGTAAGACCCTATTGCTGAAGTCATCACACCCTGGTCACAGGACTTGGAGAAAGCAAGTTGGTATTGGTGAGGAAACTTCCACCCTACTGGCTGGCTTTCATAGCACCTGGAGGCGATAAACAGACTGCTGAAGAAGAAAAGTCATCAACAAATCTCACCCAGCTGTGAGCAATGTACACTACAATAATGAACAAAGCGGCAAGAAATGACTCTGGGTGCAGTAGTGTCGAGAATGTTATGGGAGTAACCAATCCAATAAGAGCCTTGCTTTCTGATTAGATTTAAGGTCTCGACAGGAGGAAACACAGGCTTGATACTGCAAATCTGGCCAAGAACCCATAACTGGAGCTCACAGGTCCCAGGGATGAACCTACTAATATTCTGCTAAGTGGACATAGTATCAACCTGCCCTCTAAATTCGTATTTTTGTATGCATAGAATAGTGCAGCTCTTTGACCTTATCAAAGGAGCTTCTTCATGCAGAGGATTATGGTTAACATAGAAACTTAAAACTGGTCAAAGTTCAAAGAATAAATGTCAGTGGACTGCTCAGCCATAAATAGGACATCTGTATCTCTGCCCCACCTCCCAAGGCTCAGGGACCTTCACAAAAGAGGGCATGGAAAGACTGTAAGAGCCAGAGGTCAGGGAGGACAGACACTAAACAGTGTCTTCTGGACATGTTAGAACTGCTGCACTCATGAACACACAGACTGCTGTGGTTGCCTACATAAGACCTGCACAAGATCAGGCCAATCAAAATTTTAACATGGAGAGGCAAGGCTCACAAGCCCCATCTAACTGAAAATCTATTGACAGTTGATGGCTTCTGGGGAAAGGAGAGTTAGTTTTCCTTAAGGGTATGGCCCTTGGTAGGTCAACCATTTTCCAGTGGATGGCCCCACACCCATAAGTATATGGACAGTATGTGAATATATTGGATGGGGTGGGTTCCTTAAAGAAAAGAGGGGTTGGGAGTAGGAACATAGAGGTAGATTTAGGAGGAGTTAGGGAAAGAAGTAGGGGGGTGAATATGATCAAAATTCATTGTATGAAATTCTCAGGGCATTAACAAAATATATATTAAAATAGGAATATGGCTCATTGGTAGAGTGCTTGCTTGGTATATGAATGCCTTAAGTTCAATCCCCAATACTACATATGAAGAATTCGGAGTTAATATTATAAGTTATTGGGATCCAACAAGGATTGTAGAACAAGGGACTAGCATATCAGATCTGTATTTTATAAACATTCATTGTAACATTTCTCCAGTAGAGTTAGATGCTACTTAAAAAGACACATGTACAAAATAACCCCTGAAAACTGACTGTACTTTGAGTCTTCATGACAAATTCTTCCCTTCCAAATGTACTTTTACTTAGCTGCTGAACCCAAAAGAACCTTGTAAGGTTTCAGTTCACAGAGCAAAGATAGATGGCTTATCATTACTAGACTGGGTGTGAGGCTCAGCTCTTCACATGAAGAGCACTCACTTTGTGACTAACTGACCATTTAAAGCTTTATTCTACAATATCTTTCTCTACCTGGGAAAGAACCTTAGTCCTTTAGCCATGGCTTTAAGAGTAAGCAGGCACCATTTCATTCAAAACTCGCCCCACCCCCGGCTCTTCTCAATACAATTTGATGAGGCTGGAAGGGAAGCTTGGAATCTGGTTATCCTTACCCTCCTCTACACTCGGATGTGACCAATTGTGTGGCTGTCCCTTCTTCCTGGGCTCCAAGCCCAGGCTCTACTTGCTTCCCCCAAGCTTATTTTTACAAAACATTCACCTTTACTAAAAATAATCAAAACGTGGCAGAAAAAAAGAAGCCAGCATGACTTGTGTTTGATTCCTGAGAATTCACTTTTCACTACTGGCAAGAAAATACTAGAAGAAAATAATCCAGGTAACTAAGAGAGTGTTACAGCTCTTCTCACACCCAGGACAGGAAACAAATGCATTGCCAGGACATTACAGCAGCACTGCCTGCTTTCAGCCCTGGGAAGCCAACCCCAAGCCAGAAAGAAAATACTCCTCAGTGGGCCAGTAGGTCACAGTGCAGCTCTTACAGGCACTGTTGGTAAACACCTCCTAGGCTTTGGCTAGCAGAGCAAAGACATCACTCTATTCAAGTACTCATCACCACCTGCTGCACATTCCTCACCCTGCCTGCCCCACCCCTACCCTCAAGAGTCTGGGATCAGGATCACAGGGGAATATTCAAAGCCATGATCTACCCTCCACTCAGCTCTCAGTGCTTAGGCTGTTAATATGAGAAGCAGAAGCTGAACACATTTTACAGGGGATTCCAGCCAAAGCCCTTTTACACTTAAATCTTCATTCTTATCTGGAAAGAGGACAATATTATTATTATTATTATTATTTTATTTGCTACAGTGGATTTTTTTTCTTTGATAATTTAATTTTACCCAACTTTCCACTTGGTTGATGTTTTCAAAATAGTTCATGCTCACAGTATGTAAAGCCCAAAAGATTATTACAAAGAAACCACCCATGTGTCAAATCCAAACCCCTCAGATGAATTAAGAAATAAGTGTAATGAGATAGCTGAAAATCCGGGGCAGCCTGAGTTTCTCATAAAGAGAGAATTACAGACTTTGGTTCCTAGCATCATGGTAGCTGTCTGTTCCTTCCACATACCTCAAGCTATGCCTCAGTCGACCCCTATTCCCTTTCAAAGATCTTCCACCAAGAACTCATATACCTGCTCAGTGTGGTTGGAAGATGCTATTTGTTTTTTGAGGTTTGGCCTTCCCTACGACTGAGGTAAGATTGTCAACAACCCAGTGATGGCTCTAGAGAGAACAGATCTCCTGACAAGCTACCTAAAGGTCAGACACTCAGTGGACATGAAAAGTCAAGTTTTATTAAATTCTCTAGGAAGCTGAACTCCCTAGAGAAGTGAGTTCCAGGACAGCAGGGGCTACAGGGAGACCCTGTCTCAAAAAGATAAAAAAAAAAAAAAAAAAAAAAAAGGAGAATGAGTACTTAACAACCTGTGTAGCTTTCTACTTGTTTTCTGGATTGTTCTAACACATTAATCCTGTGTGTTTTATGTCTTATGAAGCCCAGTTCAATATCAGCATTGTTTCTCGACCTTCAGGGTTGGTTCTGAGGTCTAATTAGAGCCAGGGAACAGATTGTATTGAATCTGCCTGTCCATCTTCTTAGCAATCAAGTAAAGCTCTTAAACCCAACTGCAAACATCCCTGGATTTCAATTAATTTGTCTTACTTAGTAAACCAGGCAACATATATTGTTTTACTTACAGATAAGCAAATCCTTTACACCTTTTATATTTCAAATGCCTAGCATGATTTACTTATTTACTTTCTTTTCCTTTTTCCCTCTCTCTTTCTTTAGACTGGATTGAAATGATGGTGTCTTGGGAGCTTTAAAAAAGAGTAAAATAAAATATGGTGAATAATATAATGGAAATAGAAGCTTCTTGGAGATACTTAATTCAGATGAATTGAAACAGACATTGACCAAAAGGGAACTGCGATCTTTATTACTAGCTGATATTGGAGGACTGTCAACTACGGAATTCGGGGTAACAATATCTCTTCTATTTGAGGACTTCCACAAGAAATGAAGTCTAAAGTATTTTTTAAGTGGGAACATGCTACATGTGTATAAATACTTCCTCAAAATATTATTCTTTTAAAAACTCTAGACGAAACCATATATGTGCCTTTAAATTCACCAAAGAGTCTCATCTCTTTCTGTTCACAACAGTAACAAAACAGTATCATTGCGTCTGCCTCCGCATTACAGTTATCGAGGAAACTCCTCATAGTGGCAGAAACAGACCCCGGGAGGAGAGGGACGGATGGAGAGGGAACTGAACTGCGTAGAGTTTTTATTAATTCCATCTATTTTGTAAACCAGAAACACGTTCTGCCACCTTGCTGTGTTTCCCCATGTGAGTGCGCGCGCACATACATGCACACACACACACACACACACACTCGCTTGCTCGTTCGCTCCTGCACACCCGCTTTTGCACACACACACTCCTGCACAGCCTCTCCTGCACACGCTCCCGCACACTGCAAGCGCGGGATTCCAGCGCTCCCCTCCTGCACTCAGAACACCCCCCTTCAGGGTCCGGGTCGCCGGCAGCCTCATCCCACCCTCCAACCAACACCCCCGCGGCGGGTCACCTACCCTACTGCGGGCGCGGGACCTACGCGGGGCGATGGCTGCTCCGACTACTCAGGATCCCGGGTCTGGCGGAAAGACAAGGAAAGCAGATGGGGTGTCCCTTACTTCTCACCGCCAGAGGTAGCGCGGAGCTCCATTCGCTCCCCGCCCGCAGCGCGGGTCTCGGAGGAAATCCGCAGCTGCCCCCAGCCGCAGCTGTGGTGGAAAGTTGGGGGAATGCCCCTGCCGTCGCTGCCCCGTTCCCCTCGGGTCCCCGCCGGCGCCTCTGTAGCCCCGCCGGCCTGCGATGCCCCCCTGAGCCCCGCCGGCTTTCACCCGGAGTCGGGCTGAGTAGGCGCACGCATTTGAGAAATCCTAGCAGTTGCGCAAAGAAGAGTCCAGAAGTTAGAAAGACTGATTGTGTGTGGATGTGTAAATATACAGTACAAGAGGCTGGAACAACTGAGTGGGGCCAGCCCGCAGACGCAGCCGGGGTTTCGGGTTTCAGCTGGCAGCTGGCGGCTTCAGAGGACCCGGTGGCGCTCTTGGGGAGGCGGGAGCCCCGCCCTGCACGCCTGCCTCACCTCCCCGGAACCGTGGGCCCCAGCCAGGACCAGTCACCACCCGCCCTGCTGGTCCCTCTGCAGCTGGTAGCATGCATTTCAGCCCAAGTGCAACAGAGAAAGGAGCTGGTCACAGATCAGAAGCTGTGGGTTCCAGAGCACAGGAAATGCACTGCACCCACACTGGAGGACCTCCGCTGTTCTGGCTATACTTGCTTCCTCTGACTCTGTAAAACCTTAGCTCTCCTATCTAATCCCTTATTCCTAGACATGAATGTTGGATGTTCTTTTATCAGGTCCTTAAAGAAATGTTAAGTATAGCAAACTTCAGTGTGTGGTTTGAGAGTTCTCAAAATCAAACCCCAAGTAGGAAGACATAGTAAACATTTTCCTGATCTAGACCCACCTTCTTCCCACTGTCTGAAATAAATGAATGAATAAATAAATAAATAAATAAATAAATATGCCTATTTCAAATAAAGATTACAGTTTGGCCATTATTTCAAAAGTTTTGTTAAAGTCCATGCTAGAAATCATCACCAGATTTCTTATCCCCAATGGGGATGTCCAGGCACATTATAAGGCTGAGAAACACCAAAAACAAAAGTCTGAGTGGACACTGATGGGTGTTCCTTCTCCTTGGAAAAAGAAGGGACTTCCCAGACCCCAGGCTGAAGTCCAACTAGAAAATTGATTTTTCTGGCAGGAGAAGACTCATCCCTTTAATGAATCAATTAAGTTCTATGTAAGAGTAACCTTTTATGACATTTTCTTTAAAAGTGTGTGTGGGATTCCTAGCCAGAAGCCATACAACCTATTTTGTAATTGGTGGAAATAAATGACCTTCATCAACTCACAAGTCCTTGTGTGTTGTAATGACACACAGTCACACTGGCAAGTGACAGCCAATGGGCAGTTTTAGATGAGAACTGAAATCAACCACAATGAAATCTGCACACATTTCATGACCTCAAAGGCCTCAGGACGCCAAGTGTCGATAGGTTTGATTCAAGACTCTGACATTTAAAAAAGAGAAGGAAGCTAATATATCAGTAACTTATTTGGGGATATAACAAACATTACCACAGCAATTTAGTCCCAGGATAATACAAAATTGAACTCTTCAGTCTGAAAGATTAAGACACATCCATCCTTGTACCCAAGACCTTCCCCACACACCTCAGGCGGTATCTCCACCCTACCCACCTGACACCACCTCACTGGTGTGATCTATGGGATTTTTTTAATGTTTTATTTATCATTTTTATTTCATGTGTATGAATGTATTATTTGCACGTAGGTAGGTGCACTCGTGTCATGCACTGCCCACAGAGGTTAGAAGAGGGCATGGGATTCCCTGGAACTAGTTATGGATGGTTCTTAGTGGCCATGTAGGTGCTGGGAATCTGGTCCTCAGGAAGAGCAGCCCCTGATGTTTTAGGCTGAAGAACACACAGAAGGAGAGGAAGGTTGTCATGGAGATCAGACAGGTGAGATAGCAGAGGAGTTCCATCCAAGAATAAAAACCCCATCTTCTGCAGATAGAGAAGGGCTTTTCTGAAACCTTGTTAAGATTTAACAAAGACTCTGTAACAAGAGAGTGTGGCCTGAACTAGAAAATGCTTGACTGCCCACTGGACTCTGACCCTTAGTCCTCCCACTGGTTAGTTATGACTGGAGCACAACCCTCCTGTGCATTACAAGAGCTTTAAAGAAGAAAAGACATTCTGGAACCAGCATCTGGACACAGCATTCTCAGGAGAAGAGGAGGCTAATGAGACCCCTACAGATCCCTGGGAAGAGGTGTCTATTTTTCAGCTCCAGGGTCTCTACTGAGAATGTGGCCAAGATGTTATCTGAAGTGAATGTTCCAAGTCAGTTTTAATTCTGAGCTGGAAGCACATTCTAGACAAATTCTACAAAGTGCAGAATTGATTCAATGGTGCAGGTTAACTTTTTAGGATGGACCCCAGACATCTTCTGAGGAGGAGGATAGGGAAAGAATACAAGCTATAAAATGCAAGTAGGGCTTGAGGAGTGTGTTGGATAGCTTCCGCTGTCAACTTGACACAGCTGGGAAGAGGGAACCTCAGTTGAGGAATTTCTTCTACAGGATTAGCCTGTGGCCATGTTTGGAAGGCATTGTCTTGAGTGTTGAGTGATGTGAGAGGGCTCAGCCCACTGTGGGTGGTGCCACTCCTAGGGAGGTGGTCCTGGATTGAATAAAAAAGCAAGCTGAGTACAGGCCAGGGGAGCAAGTCAGTAAGCAGCTCTCCTTCATGGTCTCTGCTTCAGTTCCTGTCTCCAGGTTTCTGCCCTGAGTTCCCTCAATGATGACCTATAGTTAAGATGTTTAAGCCAAATAAGCCCTTTCCTCCCCAAGTTGGTTTTGGTCAGAATGTTTGATCACATCAACAGTAACCTGTTACTCTTGGGAGGGGATCATTCTTTACATGGAGCTATAGAATGCCTTTAGCACCAGAGTCTCTCCAGGTACTAGAAATAAAAGAGGAAGAGGATGAAAGAAAGACAATAACAACCTCACTACACATGTAATGTATCCAATGTCAGTATTGCCAAAGCCAAGGTCAGGGAAACAGTCCCAGCATGAAGCCCCCTGTTTCTATCAGACCATTCTTTATTTGGAATTTATTTAAGAGAAACTCAACAGGCATTTGTATAATCATTTTGTCTGTTTCAAGTATATGGGTCAAATGTTACTATCAAATATGGAACAAAAATGTGTTTTAATGGGATTTACTAATTTAAAATCAGTTTCCCAGCAGATTCCTTGGCAGATACTCCTTGAAGCCCTTAGTGTAGAGTTAGCCATTGTCATATCACTCGGCTGCTCATGAATATCAGACACTGGAGCTCTTTAATTATGTTTTAAGAAAACATAAATTCCTGAGAGGGCAAAACGCACAGTAACAAAACTGAGTAGTCAAGAATTGCCAAACTCCTAACATTGTTTACAGTCTCTCACCAACAATGTAGAATGTGTGTGGGTGCTGCAGTGTGTCAAGGGGTTGCAGGATGAAGATAGGAGGCTGTGCTTTAAAGCATGTCTGTTTCTAAACGTCTGGTTTTGTTTTTGCTTTTCATTTCCCGTTGGTAATTCCTTTCCAACAAAGTCCAGCTTTGTCCTAGCTAAATAAAAACGGGAAGTATTGATGGAACTTACACTCACCCTCTCAGAAGACATTTGTTCTAGTTTGCCTTTCTCTATTGCTGTAATAAAATGCTAACCAAAACCAAAATAGAGAGAAAAGAGTTTAAGTTCATCTTATAACTCCCAGGTCACAATCCAACATCAAGGGAAGTCAGGGCAAGAACCTAGAGGCAAGGCTCAAGCATGACCATGGAGGGACTCTGCTTACTGGGTTGCTCCTTTGGACTGTGCTCAGCCTGCTATGTTACACAACCCAGGGCCACCTGCTAGGGATGGCACCACCCACAGTGGACTAGCCATCCTACATCACTCAACACTCAAGAAAATGTTTCACAAACATGCTCAAAGGATAATTGAGAGAGGAAGTTCCCAAACTGAGATTCCTTTTTTCCAGGTGCATCAAGTTAACAACTGAAGCCACACAGTACAACATTGCATCACATGATTCAGGGAAACGGAATGTACTATTGTCTCAATTGTGGGGCAGAAGCAATCCAGCTACATCTCTGTAAGAAATATAATAATGATGAGCACAAACAAAAAGAGCATAGGATAAGAGTCTCCTTCAGATTCCCTCCTACTTTGTGATCTACTTTGTGGTGCTGGCTATGAGTCAACAGCTTGAAAAATCAAACATCATTGCTGTCCATTTAGATCTTGAAGCAGACGTAGTATCAACCATTGGCACACCCTGACTGAATTTACATAGTTTTGGTGGCAAAACAAGTTATACTCCATCCCTCATACCATCAGAGAAGATGCTAAAGAAAACGATAACTAAATTTATATCTAAATTTTTTCTAATTAGAAAATTAAAATCTGGAAGATACAGAGAAATATAAGAGAATTAAAAATTGCCTATGAATCAAACATTTACACATGGCTATTTTTAACATCTTGAATGTTTCTAATTTTTTTAAACTTTTGAGTGTATTCCTAGCTTGTATAATGATCTGCATAATGCCCTGTACCAAAGTGAGTTCCTTTATGCCTGAGCTCCAAATTCTGCCCATGGTTTCCAATTTAAATTGTTTTCTTTGATGCCTTTTAAAGTTAGATTCAGGGTTAGAGAGGTGACTTAGCTGTTAAGATCTCTTGCTTTTCTTCTAGGGGACGAGAGATCATTCCCAGCATCCAAGTCTGGCACACAACTCCTGTAATTCCAACTCCAAGAGCCCTAATGCCATCTTTTGGCCTCAGAAGACATCTGCATACATGTAGAATACACTCACACAGAAACAAGCATATACACATAAAATAAATCTTTAAAAATAAATAAATAAATAAATAAATAAATAAATAAATTCTAGGGGACGAGAGATCATTCCCAGCATCCAAGTCTGGCACACAACTCCTGTAATTCCAACTCCAAGAGCCCTAATGCCATCTTTTGGCCTCAGAAGACATCTGCATACATGTAGAATACACTCACACAGAAACAAGCATATACACATAAAATAAATCTTTAAAAATAAATAAATAAATAAATAAATAAATAAATAAATAAACTTCCAAATTGAGCTTATTTTCTTCAATTGGGTCCCACAAAAGTTTCTTCTTTATACCTATATGTTAAGTCCAAATGTCTCATTATTATACAGTTTGTGTGTGTGTGTTTGTTCACTCACAAAGTTTCTAAGACAGACTTTATTCAATCTTAGCTTATACAGCCTCTCTACTTACCCATGAGCAAAGGCATGTGTGAACAGACACTCACATGTACCACCTACAGAGAAAGAGACAGAGACAGAGACAGAGAGACAGAGAGAATGTACATTCAAACAACACA